ACCTTTCTGATAAGAAGAAATCAGCTGGTCATGGTGGCTCATGCCTGTAATCCTAGCACTTTGGGAGGCCGAGGCTGGTGGATCACCTGAGGTCAGGAGTTCGAGACCAGCCTGGCCAACATGGTGAAACCCCATCTCTAGTAAAAATACTAAAATTAGCCGGGCATCATGGCATATGCCTGTAATCCTAGCTACTTGGGAGGTTGAGGCAGAATTGCTTGAGCCCGGGAGGCAGAGGTTGCAGTGAGCGAGATCATGCCACTGCACTCCAGCCTGCGGGACAGAGTGAGACTCCATCTCAAAAAACAAACAAAAACAACAAAAAAGAAGAAATTAGTCATGGGAAGGGTCAAGAGAAGAATATTCCTGGCAAATAAACATCAAATGCAAAATCCATGAGGCAGAACGAGGTTGAAATATTCAAATTCAGAAAGAAAACCATTGTGTTTGGATCAGAGGCAAAATAGTATGAGATAAAGACATAGAAATGAGCCGTTCATACAGAGCCCTGAAAGGACCGTTATAAGTTTGATTTGGTTTTTAGGGCAACTGAAGGCCTTTGGAGGATTTTTGTTGTTGTTGTTTGTTTGTAAAGACAGGGTTTCACAATGTTGCCTAGGCTAGTGTTGAACTTCTGGTCTCAAATGATCTGCCCCCACTTGGCCTCCCAAAGTGCTGGGATGAGCTACTATGCCCTTTGGAGGATTTTTAAACAAGGTACTGTCATAATCTACTACATGTTAAAAAATATGCTGATTACTGGCTGGGCATGATGGCTTATGCCTGTAATCCCAGCACTTCAGGAGGCTGAGACGGGTGGATCACTTGAAGTCAGGAGTACAAGACCAGCCTGGCCAACTTGGTGAAACCCCATCTCTACTAAAAATACAAAAATTAGCCGGGTGTGGTAGTGGGTGCCTATAATCCCAGCTACTGGGGAGAATCGCTTGAACCCGAGGCGGAAGTTGCAGTGAGCCAAGTTTGCACCACTGCACTCCAGCCTGGGGGACAGAGCGAGACTCCGTCTCAAAAAAGAAAAAAAAACAAAACGCTGAATACTGAGTGGGGACAATAAGGGCCAGGAGAATAATTAGGAAACAATTCCAGTAGTCCAGGTGAAAAATATTATGGCTGGAACAAAGGTGGTTGCAATGGAGATAGAAGTGAACAAAATCAGGATATATTTGAAGGTAAAGTTTACAGGGTATACTGTTGGGCTAGATGTGGAGAGAAGAAAATCAGGCATGAGTACTAGGTTTTTGGCTAGAACTATTTGATGGATAGTGATGCCATTTTCAGAAATAGGAAATATATGGGGAAAAAAGGGTTTGGGGTTCAGCATCAAAAGTTCTGTTAAACTTAAGTTATCTCTTTTTCTTTTCCTTTTTATTTTTTGAGAAAGAGTCTAGCTCTGTTGCCCAGGCTAGAGTGTAGTGGCGCTCACTGCAAGCTCTGCCTCCCAGGTTCATGTCATTCTCCTGCCTCAGCCCCAAGTACTGGGACTATGGGCACCCGCCACCACCCCCGACTAATTTTTTGTATTTTTAGTAGAGACGGGGTTTATACCGTGTCTTGATCTCCTGACCTCGTGATCTGCCCGCCTACGGCCTCCCAAAATGCTGGGATTACAGGCGTGAGGCACAGTGCCCGGCCTCTTTTCTTTTTTTTTAGAGACAGGGTCTCTCTGTTGCCCAGGCTAGAGTGCAGTGGCGCTATAATAGTCATAGTTCACTGCAGCCTTGAACTCTTTTCCTCAAGGGGTCCTTCTGCCGCATGGGGTGGGAAGCCATTGCGCTGGGGCAAACTATCTTTTTTTTTTTGATACCCAAGTAAAGATGTAACATAAATAATTGTATATATAATTCTGGAAATTCAGGGATGTGGGTTATTTCCATGGCTGGAAATAAGAATGGGGGAGTCATCAGTGTATAAAAATTACTTTTAACTAAGGCCCTGGATGAGATTCCCTGAGAAGAGAATCTGGATAAACAAAAGAAGAGAGTATATACCCAACCTCTGGAGCACTCCAATAGAGATTAGGTATAGGAGGAGGAAAACAGAAAAAAACAAGATCAGACCACACAGGGGTAAGAAATCCAGGAAAGTGAGGTATCATAGAAGCCAAGAGAAGGAAGTTGTTGTTGTTGTTGTTGTTGTTGTTGTTTTGAGACAAGAGGTTTGCTCTTGTTGTCCAGGCTGGAGTGCAATGGCACGATCTCGGCTCACTACAACCTCTGCCTCCCAGGTTCGAGCAATTCTCCTCCTCAGCCTCCCGAGTAGCTGGGATTACAGGCATGCGCCATCACACCTGGCTAATTTTGTATTTTTAGTAGGGACGGGGTTTCTCCATGTTGGTCAGGCTGGTCTGGAACTCCAGACCTCAGGTGATCCACCCGTCGTCTCGGCCTCCCAAAGTGCTAGGATTACAGATGTGAGCCACCGTGCCCAGTCCTTTGATTTTGACACAATCAGAAAAGAAAGTTTTTAAACCAAGGGTGGTCAGGTTTTTTTCTTTTCTTTTCTTTTTAAATGTTGCTGGAAAGTTAAATGATACCAGAGAAGTGACCTTTGGAACACTTGGCAATGTTTGGAGACATTTTTGGTTATCATAATCGGGAGCGAGTTGCTACTGGCATCTATTGGATTGAGGTCAGGGATGCTGCTAAATATCCAACAATGCACAGAACAGCCTCCCTCAACAGAAAGTTATCTGTCAACAGTTCTTTGGTCTGACTTAGAAAATTCATGCTGGCCGGGGCTCAGACCCAACATTTGGAAGGTCAGTTTGGGAGGATGGCTTGAGTTCAGGAGTTCATGATTAGCCTAGGCAACTTGGTGAGATGCCATCACTATTAGATTTTTTTGTTGTTGTTTTTTGTTGTTGTTGTTGTTTTAAAATAACAACAAGCCGAGCCTGGGCCTGGTGTCTCATGCCTGCAATCCCAGAATTTTGGGAGGCTGAGGCTGGTGGATAACTTGAGGCCAGGAGTTTGAAACCAGCTTGACCAACATGGTGAAACTTCTTCTGTACTAAAAACACAAAAATTAGCCAGGCGTCGTGGTGTGCACCTGTAATCCCATATACTCAGGGGCCTGAGGAGAATCGCTTGAACCCGGGAGGCAGAGGTTAAAGTGAACTGAGATAGCGCCATAAAACTCCAGCCTGGGCAACAGGATGAGACTCCATCTCACAAAACAACAATAACAGCAACAACAACAAACTCCCCAAAATAGCAGCTTAATAATATAGGCTAATCATAAACATAATAAATATAGCCTAATGTCATATGTCTAATAATAAACATAGCGTGGCTGGGCCTGGTGTGACTCACACCTGTAATCCCAGCACCTTGGGATGCATATATGGGAAAATTGCTTCAGCCCAGCAGTTCCAGATCAGCCTGGGCAACACAGAAAGAACTTGTCTCTACAAAAGATTATTTTAAAAATTAAAACAAAACAAAAAAACCCCACAGCATACCAAATAGAGGGCTCCTAAATTATACTTAGGTTCAAATTAACACCTCAGCCAAATACTGTTATTTTGGGGAAGTTACTTAATCTCAGTGCCAGTTTCCTCCTTTGTAAAACAGGAATGAGATAATGGATTACAAAATGCTTATTAGCCCAGTGCCTGGGAGAAGGTATAGTCAATGAACGTTGTGATTACAATTGACTAGATAGGCTGAATACGGCCTGAAGGTAGCAGATTGCTCTTTACTTTTCTAGAACCTCCCCTATTCTCCCCAAACAACCCAATTATCTTTTAATATGTTCTTTCTAATCTGATGTGAAACAAGAAATCAGATATCCACCCTTTAAAAAATTGGTTCTAACATTAGTTTTAAATGGATTTCTGCATGTTGACGGCTTAGAGGTTTTATTAACTCCTAGATTCCCAGTAATGTTCCTGAACAGTTTTTTTAGCCACTTGACAAATGATAGGGAAGTCAATAATTTAATCATGTAATTATCAACCAAGATCAGCTAAATAAATCAATAATTTAAAAAATATAATCTTCATACTTTAGCAGTTTTGCCCCATTAGGATATCACATCATTATTCAAAATAATAATAGAACAATGTGATAGAGGCTAGGGAATCTGAAATAGGTCAAGTAAATATTACCATTTTTTCCCAGCACTAAATCTTCCAGCATTCCAATATTGGCCGCGAGCAAATTTAGCTGCAGATGAGATTTACATTCTATTATCAGAGCGTTTAGCAGAGTGTTTAGCACAGTGAGTACTCGTTGGCTCTGTCTTCACTCTTGTTGACTCCCAACCTCTAGAATGTTCTCATGCCTAGGCCCCATATCCTCTAGTATTCTAGAGGTATAGGACTGGATTATATGTGATATCAAGTCTTGCTTTTTTCACTCAAAGATATTTCTTCTAGTCCAGAGAGGTTAAAAAGAGGAAGTAACTTTTTAACAAGGATAACTGGGAGTTCTCTAACTGAATCCATAGGGCTTTTTAGAGGTTGGGTTTTAGTGAGATACAAGCTTGCTCCCACCTACCCTGGATAAGATATTCAGAGGGGAAGACACTCATGGAAATAATTATGTCAAAAGGTTGTCTTTAAATCTTGACCTGAAAGTATTATTGCATTTCCTGGATAATGTAGGGAAGGCAAAAATTTACCTACAAGGTGGATCTCCTCCATTAGACTGTAAGTGCCATGGGGGAGGGATTTGTAGTGATATTGTCAGTATCTAGGCAAGTGCTAACACTTAGTGAGCTCTCGGTGTAGAATTTGGTTCAGTGTGTGCATTGAGGTTTAATAGTTGTGACCAAATTTTTAAAAACTTAAAAAAAATGGAATTAATTTGTGGGGCTATTTGTGTGACAGACTGTAGTTTGTTTAGCCTGTGGTTAATATTTAAATCCACAATCTACTGCTATCGAAAGAAGGAATCCTGCGATGGAATCCCAGCTATACTATTACTCCCGAGGGATCTTGGAAAACTAAATTTCTGCTTTGAAAAATGAGGAAAACATTTTCTATGAGCTCTGAAATTGTTTCTATGCCTAATATATAACAGGTTCTCAATATTTGTTGAATAAGTGATTCTATATTGCACTCAAGATTCCATATTTAATTAGTAAAAGTCTGAAAGATATTGCTCAAAAGCCTTTATTCTATCAAGTTAGCAAAATTTCTGCAAACTATTTCTTGGTAAACATTTTCAAACTTAGCAGTTTTAATCAAATATTTAATGAAATGAAAAACTTCATTTTTGTGTATCTGATCACATAAGCAGCAAGTCTCCCCAATTCCTCAAGCACTTTAAATAATTTTGCCAGATATCACTGATCAACTTTTAATGACTCAGCCTAAGAAATAAAAAATCAAGTATGAAACCAAATTATTGCACTTGGTACATTAGAAATCACATAAATTGAACTATACTAATTGCTGATATTGAACGGTTTTTGACCTCCAAAAATGGCAATTTTTATATGGCTCACACTAAATATGTTTAGCATTAAATAATGTGTTTTAAGAAATATTACAATAGGGCTTCTAAAGCCTCCCAGTTCTCTGTTTTACTCTTATCATCTCCTGTCTGTTAGGGGTGTGGCAGGTATTTTTGGAGAATTTCACAATCTTATATCTCTCCTACATAAAATAGGCAACTTGTAGTTTAAAAAGAGTATAAACTAGTAGTTTTGTTTTGGTAACTATCCTAAGGGGCTAGTACGAATAACCAAACCTTTTATAGAGAGAATACACTGTAAGTTCCTTAATGTTCCTCAATTGTTCAGGTCAGTGGTTCACAACCTTTAACGTTCATGACAACCAACAGAGAACTTGTTTCTGGGCCCTATCCCCAGAGATTCTGATTCAGTTTAGGTCGGGGTGGGGCCCACCAATTTTACTTCCTAACAAATTCACAAATTATGCTACTGCTGTGGGTACTAAAACCACTTTTAAGAACCACTGATCTGGGTATAGAAGAAACTATTTATAAGCAGGCTTTTTCTTCTTTTGGTCCTTAGATAAATAAAACTCAAGTTGATGAGGTATGATTTTTACCTTAAATCAAAACCATTTTTGGTAAAGTACTACCTCAGCTCTATTGTAAGGTAAATGTAAATTAGATTTGCTTTGACTTAGCTGCTACAGACCACAATTACAGGATAACTAACTGAGGAATTTATTCACTTGTCCCTTCTTTTGAACCTCACTGTGCTCTGGCATGCCAGGAGGTGCAACGGTCGTCCCAGCTTTGCACTTGGCGCTCCAGGCCTGGGTCATTTCACTTGAGTTATCAGAGGCAGCGCGTCCAGTTTGACAAACTCTGCCGGAGGCTCCTGATAGAGAAGGGCGTGGGCGCCAATCTAGGAGACAAAGCCTGACTCGTTGCGAAGAGCCAACCCAACCCCATCCCCGAGTCTTATTTCCAGGGACATTTTCGGAGCCGAGGGCGCCTCTGCAAGAGCACTGCGGACAGGTTCCGACTCGCCGGAGATCGCGCGACGAATCTGCGCCTCGAACCCTCGCTTTCCAGCAGTCGCCGGATTGCTGCCCCACAGGGAGCCAACCCGCCCGAGGACCAGCCCAGCCCGGGCTCTCTGGATTCGTAGGCTGTGCAGGCGGCGAGCTCGCCCACGCATCTCAGCCCACTCCCTCGTCCTCCTCCCGGCGAAGATGTCCGCCAAGCCTGAAGTCGGCTTAGTGCGCGAGGCTTCTCGGCAGATCGTGGCCGGTGGTTCTGCAGGTAAGGCTACCCCGCCCTGCCCCGCCGGAGGCTAGTTGCTTTCCCCACCGCGTGTCCTGAAAACGTTTCCCAGATAGGTCTCCCTACTGAAGTTCCGCCGTCTTCCTCAACATTCCGCGCTCCCGGAGCAGTGCCTGAGCCCCTGGAGGCGCGAGAGCAAAGGAGGCCGGGAGCTAACGGCGAGTACCGGGTGCCCCAAGCAGTGTTGCCTCGGCGTCCGCGCCGGCCGCTCTCGGGTTCCCGGCATTCTCCGTTCCTAGCCTGTAAAGCAAGTGGGAGAGCCCCAAGGGCAGCGACTTTGAGGCGGTCTTTTTGTCTTGCAAGCTATTTTACTTGAAAATGAACCAGTTCGGTCTGGCTTAGTTTTATCAATTGTAGAGTCTTTCTTCAAGCTCTCGAATCTGATATAAATCCTGCCTTCCTCATCAAAGTACTTACAGGACTCCACAGGACTTCTTATTGCATACTGTGCTTGCTTGGGGATATTCGTGCCTTAAATAAAGATATTAAAATTAAATGCATATGTGACACACATAAACACCTTTGATATAATGGGCTCACGTTAATTTACAGAGTTATGCTGTGGGGAAAAAGTAAACCTTTAGGAAAAAATGTTGTAATTTCGGAAATACTTTTAAATGTAGCTGGAGAAAGTTACTAACCACGAGATGTGTTATGTGCAAGTATTTTAAAGCTATTTTAAAATATAAATTATGATTTGGTTTAAAATTTAATCTTACAGTCATGCATTTTTATTATAAATATATAATTAAAATAATTGCCATAATTGGCTCATCACCAGAAAACATTTTATAAATCTAGCCCTTCTTTCAATAAATTATATTATGGTAACTCTAATAAATCATGTTAAAGCAATGACTAGAAGATGTTTAATGTTTAACTTCGACTAGTAAAAGTTACTGTATTTTCAAACAAATTTGGACTTTTTGTAAGGGACTACTGCAAATTATGACTGGTTATCATTATGTCATCACCTACTGGCATCTCAGGAGTACCATAAACAGCCAGTGTGTCACTCACAATCTGTACACTTTCTTAAAGATGATATTTCATCAATATCACATTAGAACCATTCATTTCTTACAGAAAATTGTGAAATCAATCCCCCTTCCCGTTCCCCTTCCTTTCTTTGAGATGGAGTCTCGCTCTGTTGCCCAGACTGGAAGGCACCGGAGCTGGAGTGCAGTGGCGCGATCTCAACTCGCTGCACCCTCTGCCTCCCGGGTCCACCTGAGTAGCTGGAATTACCGATGCGCGTCACCACGCCGGCTATTTTTAAAAATCTTTTTTTGTAGAGATGGACTTTCGCCATGTTGCCCAGACTGGTCTCAACCTCCCGGGCTCAAGTGATCCTCCCACTGCAGCCTGCCGAGTAGCTGGGACTACAGGAACCCACCACCATGCCCGTCTAATTTTTGGGGGGAGGTAAGGGAAGGGTATATATATATTTTTTTTTGGTGGAGACAGGGTTTCACCATGTTGCCCAGGCTGGTCTCCAACGCCTGGGTTCAAGCAATCTGACCCCCTTGACCTCCCAAAGTGATGGGACTACAGGCGTGAGCCACCACCCATTATTATAATAGCAGTGGCCCCACTGCTTGCTCTTTCAGTTTTCCAATTGTGATGATGAATTTGCACCAATTTATTTACCGTTTTTGGTAAAATTCCACAATGCCTAAGGTTCTGTCTTCTGAACCTAACTCGTTGGTTTGTAGTCTATGACCCTGATCAAAGAAAACTCAGCTCGTCCAAAGAGAAAATGAGGCCAATTGATTAACATCCTAAGCTAAGACTAATGACTCATAAGCACCTGTATGCTAATTTATATGATCATACTAGGTATTAGGCACCCCTAAACTCAAAGAAGGTTAAAAGTAGATCAAACTCGGCCAGGCACGGTGCCTCACGCATGTAATCCCAGCACTTTAGGAGGCCGAGGCAGGCGGATCACGAGGTCAAGAAATCGAGACCAACCTCCCCAACATGGTGAAACCTCGTTTCTACTAAAAATACAAAAATCAGGTGGGCGTGGTGGTGCGCGCCTGTAGTCCCAGCTACTCCGGAGGCTGAGGCAGGAGAATGGCGTAAACCCGGGAGGCGGAGCTTGCAGTGAGCTGAGATCTGGCCACTGCACTCCAGCCCTGGCGACAGAGCGAGACTCCGTCTCAAAAAAAAAGTAGATCAAACTCTAATCTTACTTGCGCTGTTCTGAGTGATAAGTACTTGGCATAAATATGTGTGATTGCATCATATATTCTTATAAATGTAACTAATACAAATGCAAGTTAGGATATTTATAAGATAAATTAAAAATAGCAGCAAAGTTGATTTACATGGTTAATACTATGGAGTTATTAATAAATGATTAGAGTAATTTATACTTTCATAATAGTAAAAAGGAATTATATTTTCTTTTACTTGGCCAAAAACATTTTCATAAAACTTTTATCTTTATTGATACATGTGGGCTAATTGTATTATATATACTTGGTCAAGGGCCAGATAGAAATCAATACACAAGAGAGGAAGAATTTTAATAAAAACAGAAAATGCATTAGAATCTCTGGCACTGTAGTTCTAATCACTGATATTGTCCTTGAATACAACACTTGTGTGTGTGTGTGTGTGTGTGTGTGTGTGTATGTGTGTGATGACCTTTTGTTTGTAAAGGCCAAAGATACAGGCTGGCTTTCTTAGGGGAAAAAGAAAAGAAACTGGGAGGTTTATTAGAGAGATACCAGGGTATCTGGTGGAATTCAACGTCTGGGATGCATTCTTGGAGCAAACTGGAATAAGGGGCTGGAGTGCTGAGGATAACTCAGGAAGTGAAGTCTCTCTTTCTCTTTTCTTTAAGTAGTCAAATGTTCCTAAGGCAGCAGGGAGGCAGGTAATATATAGGGCCACAAGTATTACTACTACACCTGTCAGGATGGCTTGCACATCCTGACACTTACCTGGTAAGGAGTAAGCATGCCCAAATGCAGTCAGATAGTTTATTAGTTATACAGACAGCAAAAGCAAGACATCATGGTGCCAGCTCTCTGTGCCCATAGCACCACAGTCAGCACTGAACAGAAGAGACCAGAGGATAGATGGGATGAGTGGGTCAGTCTGCTGTTAAGGATCTACCTCTAAACCACAGCCACGCAGTTTTATAGACTTATGTTGAGGTCTGCAGCTGTAACCTACGTGGGGGTAAGGTGGAAAGTCTTGCATTCAACTGAAACTAGGGAGAGGGAAGAGAAGCAGCCTTGTGGCAGTCTTCCACAGGACAGCAGCTCCTCCCCAGGCTGCTTATCTACCCTTTCACTTGGAGAAATCACAGGGCATTCTGCCAAGGCTCAGTCCAGTCTGTTGTCTAACCTTGCCTGCCTGGTCCATGTGGAGATATAAGAAGTTGTCAGGGTGCCATATTTTGAAGCTATTTCCCTGTGCTCCCCTGGTGTCCTCCTCAGTCCTCTTTCTCACAGTTGACTGCTGTTTTTGTTGTTGTTGTTGTTCTTTAGTCTGTGTATCAGAATGTGATCCCCAAAAGCTTCCATGTATATATGCTCTTGACTTCTTTTTCCTGGAGAGAGTGAGAGACTAACTTGCTTTTTTTTTTTTTTTGGTTCTAGTTCAAAATCCTGGGGAAAGACTAACAATAACACAGCATTAGTAGGGGCCCACCTATGTACCAATCAACTGTAGCTAATCCCTAGGCAGATTGGTGGGACAGGTGAGGTAGGGAACCTCAGGGGAGATTATTTTCCAGATAAACCAGATACATCATGAAATGGGCAATAGGTATTTTCTATAACGATATAGGTCTGTCTTTTATAAGAAGATGGTTTGCAATATTTTCATTTAAAAGACTAAAGAGATTAATGCACTGACAGTTGCCTGGACAATACATTACACGTCAGAGGAGACTGATGCATACATCTAAAGATTGGTCTTTAAATGTAAATTTAAAGATTCAGGTGAGAGAATCACAGAAGCCAATAATGAGTCAGAGAAACCAATGATGAGAGCTTCAGGAAGATCAACAAGGACTAGCATTGTTGAGCAAGATGAGAATGAGAAGAGGTTACTGGATCAGACCCTTGGTATTCAAAATGTGGTCCATGGATGAGCTGCAGGAAGGAGTATGGTAGCATCTGGAAGTTTGTTGAAAATGTAGAATCCTAGGCCTCACCTACTGTAACTACCCCATCAGGTTCACCTTGCCTGCTGCCTAGACAGAGCTGATTTATCAAGACAGGAGAATTGCAATAGAGAAAGAGTAATTCACTCAGAGCCAGCTGTGTGGGAGACTGGAGTTTTATTATTACTCAAATCAGTCTCCCCAAGCATTGAGGGTGGGGGAGTGCAGCCAGAGAGTCAGGAGTGCTGATTGGTCAGGTTGGAGATGAAATCATAGGGAGTCAAAGCTGTCTTATGCTGAGTCAGTTCCTGGGTGGGGGCTACAAGATCAGATGAGCCAGTTAGATCTAGGTGATGCCAGCTGATCCATCAAGTGCAGGGTCTGCAAAATATCTCAAGCACTGATCTTAGGCTTTACAATAGTGATGTTATCCCCAGGAGCGACTTGGGAAGGGTCAGAATCTTGTAACCTCCAACTGCATGACTCCTAAGCCATAATTTCTAATCTTTTGGCTAATTTGTTAGTCCCACAAAGGCAATCTAGTCTCCAGACAAGAAGGGGTTCTGTCTTGGGAAAGGGCTGTTACCATCTTTGTTTTAAACTGTAAACTATAAATGAAGTTCCTGCCAAAGTTAGGTTGGTCTTTACCCAGGAATGAACAAGGACAGCTTGGAGATTAGAAGCAAGATGGAGTTGGTTAGGTCAGATTTATTTCGCTGTCTCAGTTACAATTTTGCAATGTTTCACTACCATGTCGGAATCTGCATTTTGGGAGGGCCTCAAGTCATTGATTTGCACTTTAAAATTTAGAAGCACTGTTTAGAAGTTTAAGTTTAGAAGACCTTTGAGAAAA